GCACCAGCCCGTCGGGTCGCCCAACTCCTACTCTACTCACCTCTTACTTCGCTCGTGTGCCGACCCTTCCTGATCGCGCAACCCCGAGCTTCCAATAACGGGTTAAGAGAGCTGACTAATCGCGCAGCCGAAATTTATAGCGTGCATGCATGCGCGAAGAACACGGAATTACTAGGACTTAGAGTGAGGATCAGAGAGGGAGCGCCTGCGTTCTCCATGATCGGACGCGGCGTGGGGGATGTAACTCTTCTCCACGCATCTATCCGAGCATGCAAGCCGCGGTTTTCAAAAATTTCAGCAAAAGAAAGAGAGAGGGGGGGGTGGGGCGGGAAAGACGAAGTGCAAGAAGAAGGATATAGTTACAATGGTGCCCGCCCAAGATTACAGTTACACACACGATTAAGGGCGCCCACTAATCAGAGTACCGTTGCAGCCGCATGAAGAAGCGCGTAAACAAAAGGCCGCGCGCGGTAGAAAAAATCCTAATTACTAAATTCCTAAATTCCTATCTAATGCGAAAAAGCAAAAAGAACCAAAGTCCAGAAAGAAAGTCCGAAATTCAGAGAGTCATTGGGGGCTCGACAAAATTCAAAAAGGATTCAAAAGAAAATTCAAAAGGAACAAAGCAACTTTCCGCGCGGCGTCCGCGCCCAGATCGAAAGCCGAAGCGAAAGAAACTACGTCAACATTAATTAATCGCGCGCGCGCACGAGGCAACGCGCCAAACAACCATCCGACCAATCAATCCACCGGTCGTCCCAAGACACACCTGGCTCCGAACCCGGTCGTCCGACACGAAGCGACGAAAAAGGACGAAAAAGCGAGGACACTGATGCAATTCTCCACCGATTCTGATCCCCCGTAATTGGCCCAATCTTCCCAGCTTAGGACCCCTCATTGCAACCGCACAGAAAATCGCGCGTTACAGAAAGTGGTTCGTCACACGATTAGTTCGTTAAAGGGCAGTAACAATAAAGAGGGCGGGAAGTGCGTATCGATGATAACAAAACCCGCACCGACAAATCCTAAACACCGAGTTTCGGGAGGAAAGAATTAACACCGTCTGATCTTGGCGAATACAAGAGGTGCAGGATCGGCAGCGCAGACTACACAGTTAGCGACCATATGTCTTACGACGTCGCGAATATTAGACCAGAACCATCGATTCTAGTCGATGGTCGCTTCAGTGACACGAATCGCGAAATGAGCGGCTTGCTCCTCGTGCGCAGATTTCGTCTTGTCATATCGCTGAAACGGGTGTGGAACCGTCAACCATAATTTCAATCCGTCTGTTTTGCGTTTTCCCAAATGACCGTTGATCCATTGATAATCTCCGGACCTCTCGGTGGTCCAGCGCCTATCATGCTTAGTGAGATGGTCCAATGGTTGGCCCGCTAATTTAGCCAGTAATATTTTATCCGTCCATACTTCCGCCCTTCGGTATTTTTCGTCGTAATCGGGGTTGTCGGTTCTGGCGGCCTCGAATCGAGCTTCCGTGGGGAGCCTGTACGTCCGACACAGGGGCCACTTCCATGCCTTACTACTCGTTCGATATCGGACGCAGGCGCCATGCGCACGATTGACAAGCGTGGCACACTCTACCCAGTCAGTGAACCCCGTTTCAAAGGGTTAGCAGTCTGCCCCATAGACCCGTGAAATACACGTGCAAAAATAGCAGAATTTGTCCGGAAGATTGGCGAAAAATTGCAGATGTGGAAGAGAAGGGGACTTAGTGGTGTTGGGAGCAGAAGGAGGGGTCGACATTGTTCCAGGGAAAGGAGAGAGAGAGAGAGAGAGATCTCGTGTCCTTCTTGGGAACGGTTGTGCCAAGGTCGTCTTTGGGGGTTGGGGAGGGTTGTCTGGGTTACTGACAACTGCACGAGAGGCGAATGAAACACACGACGGGCCAACGAAAACAAGGTGAAATAGCTGCACCATAAACATACCACAATAAAAGAAACATGGAAAGTGAAC